TTGAACTATTTTAATTCTGAGTAAATGGCATAAAACTTAAGTACAGCAATAGCATGTCAGATGAAAATCCTACTAGTCTCATGTTCCATTTCTGACAGCACGTGGTAGCAGGTGCCTTAGCCAAGTTTGTAAAAACAGGACAAACCAGAAGCACTGTATTGGTATTAAACAACCCAAAAGGAATTTTCCCACTGAAAATTTATTTGATTGCTTTCTGAACAGAAATAAATGTTTAGTACTACATCCTGTGATAAGGCAGAGCTTAGCAACAAGGCACGTGCAGTGCAAACCCCTCTGGTTCTTTTGAGCAATATCCCTCTTTGTTGCATTTGACACTTGCCAGCCCCTCTGTTGGAGGGACATCGAACACCTCCCTTTCTGTCGCCTCCTGGCTGTTCAGGGTTTTCTAGAAGACCTCCTCAAAAGTACAGAAATAGTTTCCCCAGATGTGCTGTGCTGGTGCAACAGACAATATTTTTCAGAATTTAATCCCATAAATGTCAGGTTTCCCCACTACGCGCTGTTGATTCACTGTTTCATACACTGGAGCACCAACAGGGACAATTTAGCTTGAGCTTTTGACACAAACCGGTTTCCCAAACAACTTGTTTGAGCAGAAGGGGTTTTTCATCAACTCTTGTTTTTAATCTTTGGATGGATGCAAAAGCTACCAAACTTTCCGCACAAGGCTCTCTTCATCTCTAATTCCTGCTTTTTCCTTTCACCATGATAAATAGTTTCCCTGGAGTTTGGCACACAGCCTGCCCTATGGTTTGGCACTTATATTGTTACCCAGGAGAGTCCTACCATGAAACAGAAAGAAAAAGCACAAGAAAAAAATTAGCAGAGGGTCTTGTTATCGGACAACTTGGCAATATTTTCCTTAACTGTAACCTTTTAGCAGAGCTGAGCACCATCTAATGTTAGGCAGTTCTCTCCTCTCATATCCAGCAACATGAAATACTTCAGGCTTTCTGGATTCACGCAGTCCTACTATCCTGCAAATACGAAAGAGAGCAGCCACCTCTGCAGGTCTGTGACATGAACTAACTTTTCCCCAAAGGAATCGCAATCCTTTAAAAAGTCATACACCCAGTAGTGCATCTTTCCCTGGAATAAACACCTGCAACCTGGTTTCAAATCCTTCCAAACCATATTATTAAGGTTGACAGATCTACCACAACTCAGGCAGCTGAGGCTGTAGTTGACACTGGTTATAAAAAAAAAGAAGATGGGGTGGGGAGGTAGTCACTCCACTTAAAAGAAACGTTACATCACTCCAGTTATCAGCACCGGGGCGTACAACTTTTAATCTGGCAGCTCTTTGATGGCACAAGGCAGACACGTGCCGGGGGCTGCAAGACATCGGCAGGGGAGTGAGGACACAGTGGTGCTCAGGAAAGGCAGGAGCACTGGACAGGCAGGAAGGGAACGGGAAGGGCTGCGGGCAGGGGAATACGGCAGTCAGCTGAGCCAACCAGAGGTGACTCTGCTGGCATCCTGCACCAGCACTTGGCCTGGGATCACTTCAGCTCTTTCCCCATAAACTGCAAATTTCTCCAATGCCAGAAGTCAGCTGCTCCAGGAGCTGGAGGTCTGTACCTCTGGACAAGTACTGGGAGAATGATGTCTGGCAGGGGAAATGGAGTCGGTCCCCATCCCAGATGCATTCCCAAGCTCCCCAAGGGAGTAGAGGAAGAGTAAAATTACTTTTGTCAGGTTTCCTGAGCTTCTCTTTGCCTTCCACCATCAGCTGTCTTCAAATTTTTGTGGAAATACAGAAGTGCAAATTAGTGCTGTAGGTTTCCAGACCTGGTAGGGCCTGGTGGACAGGGTCCCCGGGGTGGCTGAAATGGGCAGTAGATTGCCAGCTCTTTCCACCTCATGCCACTCCTGAGTCCTGCCTAGTCATGGGAAGGCTATCAACAGCACTGAGTACAGCTGCAGTCTCGATGGATGTAAAGTTCCATCCCTTGAGCCCAACCACCTCCATGCACATGTTAACATTAAACTTCTTGAGTGAGCGGCAAGATGAGTGGGCAAAGGCAGTGGGAGACATCATCTCTAGCAGGGTTGGGACAGTGGACTGGAGGTCAAGTGCGGACACAGCTGGAAAGGAGGGTGAGCAGAAGCCTGTAGGCCCTGGAACAGTACGCTGTGTGGGATACCAGGCTGGATTATTTGACAGCTATTGCTTTTGTGCAACCACTTACAGTCCTGATTTAACGTCCAGCCCTGTGAGCCTGCAGATACTGGGTTGTGCTGGAGCAGATGCTGCCAGCATGCCAGGATCTGGTCCAACTCAGCCTGACTTGCAGTAGTTCTCACTTCTTTTTAGTAACATTCTCCTCTATTTTAAATTTAGGAAGTTCAGAAGTACAACATGATTTAAGCTTATTTTGCAACATAAAAGCACTTTTGGTCCTCAGACAAATTCAGCCTTAAGTTTAGAGCAGTGTTTACAGGCAGCTCTACTCAACTCCAACATTTGAATCATTTCCAAATATTACTTGCATTCGAGAATCATACAGCCTTTTGCTTTAACAAGGTGTGCTAGTTTTGGTATTGGGCTGTGTATTGGATTTGTGCTGGAAACAGTGTTGGTAACACAGAGATGTTTTAGTTATCGCTGAGCAGGGCTGAGACACAGCCAAGGCCTTTTCTGCCTCTCACCCTACTCGACCAGCGAGGAGGCTGGAGAGACACGAGTGGGTGGGGGGGCATGGCCAGGACAGCTGACCCCAGCTGACCCCAGGTCTATCCCATACCACATGACATCGTGCTCAGCATGTAAAGCTAGGGGAGTGATGGCTTTTGTCTTCCCACGTAACCATTACACATGATAGACCCCTGCTGTGCTGGGGATGGCTGAGCAAGCACCTGCTGGTGGGAAGTAGGGAATTAATTCCTTGTTTTGCTCTGCTTGTGTGCCTTTGCTTTACCTGTTAAATTGTCTTTACTTCAGCTGACGAGTTTTCTCATTTTTATTCTTCCTGTTCCCGTTAGCAGTGAAACCCACTGGCATGGGTTCACTTGAATATATCATCCCACGTTTATGCCTCATCCAAGCAGGATTGATAATGGGCATGATTCTACGTCATAGAAACCTCATTTTAAAAAAAACAAACAGAAAAACCAAACAACCAAAAAGCCACCTGGCAATACTTTATAAAAATGATCATGCTGCCAAGTCACACATTCACATTGCTAGCAAACATCAAATTTAAGTTTCTTTCTCAAACTTTAGATTGATTCTCTTCATCTTCTATATGGGAGATACATCAAATTCAGACATCAATGCACATACATTCTGATATGTTTCCTGCAGTCTGGGTGTTGGGGGTTATTTATTTGCAACCTGTCAAATTAAGGTGTCTAATTTCAGGACAGTAAAACCAAAATAGGGCTTTCAAGGTGCATTTTCCAGAGTCAAATCACTTGAGGTCATCACACCACTCACAGAAATTACACATATTCATCTCTTGCTGAGATACTCTGTTGAATTTTACTGAGGTTTGCTCAGGAGTTAGCATTATGATGATGCTGCTGGGCTAGGACATGGAGACACTGCACGCTCTCCAAGAGGAGAAAATGGTTAAGATCCTTGAAAGAATATCTGGGACCAGAACGAAAGTGTTTGTAGCCTGGATATTGCCTTGCATCTGCTTTCTGAATAGCGCAGGCATAGACCAATTTGGCATAATGCTGGTGCCCTGCAAGGAAGAAGCTGTTGAATCATTTTTATCTGCTAGCCTCTCACTCATCAGTCTCTGCGTGGCAGATAAAACTGCTGCTTGTTGCCCTTTCTTTGTAATGAACAGATATGATGTGGTTAAAAGACTATTTTCCTAGAAAATTGGATTTTGTGATTATTTTCTTATTTGGAATCATCAATTCTCAGCTCTGCAGCTATGTCAGTGGGTGTTAACAGCATGAGCGATGTTAGCTTTGTGACCACTTTTACTACTCAGTAACACTTCTCTGGTAGGACTCTTGTTGACATTCAGGTTCCAGCATTGGAAACATCCTTTCAGGCTTAAGAGAGAAATGCATCAGAAAAAACAGCAATACTTCATTGACAACAACCTCTGAGACCTTTTAGCTTAGTAGTCCTTCAGGATTTTTCTTTACTGGTTCCCAACAGACCAGTTCGTGTGTTTTGGCTACCTGGCTCTCAGCAGCAGACAGAACAGACTGAAACCTTCACCAGAAAATGCGTTAGGTGGCGCCAGTCACAGATGTCAGTAATGGTTCTGGCTTCTCCCATCTCTCTTGCAATAAAAGCAAAAAATTCCGGTTTCTTGCTAGCCTTTTACAGTAAGAACTGGCATTCAGCTTAGCTTGTGTCACTCTACAAAATGCTTTACTTTCTGTGAACACTTGTCTTGGTCAGTATTTGGAAGCAACTGCTACAGATTCAGGCAGGTCCTTTAGCTTGTGGCAGAGCTATGGGCCACCCTCTCACAACTCTTCCTCCATCCAGGAGTGCTGGCAGTGCCAATTTGGGCAGGGATGTCTTAGCCAGTGCTTTGGCAAACCGGTTTCTCCTCTCAGTCCAACCCCAGCCAGGGAGAGCTGGTCTTTGCAGTTGTGCTGTTGATCAGCAGGGCAGGAGCCGGAGGCTTCTGGGGCAGGGCTCTTACTAGCCTCCTGAGCTCCAGTATGCTGAGGGAAAGACTTCATTGCCAGATCCACAAATGGTAACCCTTCCCCAGGCACCACGTTCCTGGGTTATACGGAGAATAGTTTATAGATGGAACAGAGGCTAAAAAACTAGAGTGAAAGCTAAATGTCTCTCTGCTGAAGAAAGAACAGAGGCTGAAAAATGCATCTGTACCTTTTTGACGGGGAATCCTAGCAATGTGGTGTCCCTGACAAACACTCTGGGCAAGCTGGGCTATGGCCCAGAGGTATCCAGCCCCATTGCTGTTGAGGAGAAGTCCCTGGCACAAATAGATTTGAATCTGTACCTTGCTCTACTGATGCAGGAAAGTTCTGTATCAACTGAGAAACTGCATCTGTACCTTTTTGAGGGGAAAGCCAAGCAACGTAGTGTTCCTCACACACACTCTGGGCACGCCAACTGAGATAATGTTGCTGAAGCGCTGGATCTCATGAACCACAGCATTTGTGTAGGGCAGTTCTCTCCAATCCTCATAGCAGATTAACTGGGAAGGACCAAAACCGGCATCCATCTCCTTCTGCACTTTCTCCGTGGAGACGTATTTGCCATATCAGATGGGAAGAATGCATCAAATATTTTAACTGGTCTCTTTTCTTAGAGCAGCAGGAAAATGTATTATCTCAAAATAGTACAGAAAGTGTTAACATCTGTGTTTTAATATTATTTAATGCCTGACTTTAATATATGAAAATAAAAAAACAGGAAAAAACCCAGTGTGGTCCAGAATCATAAGCAAGGACTATACTGTACTTATTCCTGATCTGACACTGATTTTACAGAATGCTTGGTGAGTGTAGGGTGAGTCGCACTGCTTCAGATTTTGAAGGTATTGCTTAGTTTACTTTATCTCAAAATCTAAATCTCATTAGCAAAATTGACATAAATGGCTCAGATATTAACGGCCAGTGCCAGGGGTTAGTTGAGCAGCGTCGCTCCCAATATGGCAACATACTTTATGAACCAAGCACACCTGAATCAGCCCAAAACCTTGGATGCAAATGCACACTTAAGGACATAGGCCTTTCAGCCTCCTACAGAAGCTGTGGAAATACAAGCATCACCCTCACTTTCACTGCTCAAGCACATCAGACAAAGAACCACCATCCCCAGGAGTACCTGAAGTCATCCTTAAACCTCGGCCGTGTCCTTGCTCTTCCTGACCTAAGTGTGGATGAGGAAACTCAGCCCGGTTCTACAGAGGCATTCGTGGAATTGATGTTAATTGATAAGCAACCTCTTTTGTGATATTAACTCAGACAGGGGCAGTTGGTGTGTACTGCCAGCAGTTCTTGCCTTGAAAACACCACTTCTACGTATCAGGCAGCCAGAATCCTCCCCTTAAACTTATATTTCTCTTTCGACAATCTTTCCATCTGTTGCAGTTGTTCCACATTCATGCTTTTTTTCTCCCAAGGTTTTTGTGCTGCTTTGTGAAAAAACTGCAACATTACTGGATATTTAAACACTAGATGCTAACACCATCCTCTGGTTACAAGCAGAATGCGATCTGCAGAAGCCTTGAGGCCACTCCTGAGCAACCCATGCCCCATGGATGCCCAATCGCCTATAGCCTTGTGCACGAAGAACTCAGCAGAGCTGTGTTAGAGCTTCTCACACCTGAACGGTGTCTGGTGCAGACAGGACTCATATTAGAGCTCTGTTACTGCTGCCATCAGTCACCCTGCAAACACTACACGCAGAGCACCTCACTGACTTCCCACTGCAAAGAGTTAACTTCTGCCTCACTGCAGGTGCCTGCAGCCACCTGGTTTGGTCAGGTCATAGGATGGGCATCTAATTTTTCCCTCCGATGACATTCTCTGTGTTTTCAGAGAGCGAGGCTTTTGTGCCTGCCACTGGTTCTAGTCAGCCATCATTAACATTTGTAGTACCCACAGCATTTCACAGCATGAACCCTCTCACCTTGGATGTCTGGATTCACTACCATATAGAGCAGTCCCCAGTACAACGTTTCGCTTGAGGTCTCTGATCCACCGAGGAAAAGGTCATTTATAACATATACCAAATTTTCTTCGTCGTACTTGGGCTTGACCCATCTTTAGACTGTAGATGATGATAAAAAGTTGAGGTTAAATCATAAAAGTTAGGTCATCCTTTATGCTTCCTGTCTGAGAGTTGTTATTTTCATGGCTGGCACGTGCACAAATATTCAAATTAAATTTTTTCATGAGTACTAAGGGATTAATAGTTTCCCAAAAAGACATGGTAATCCTGCATTGCTCTTTTTCATGAGGTGGAATACTCTTTCATTAAAAAACAGGGAATTTTATGCCTGTTGACTAAATCACAAAAACTTTAAAGCACACTACAATTTTTTCAGTTAGCCTAGACTGTTCTTCTAAACAAGTGCCCCACAAATCACTTATTAGGCCTTGGCGTCTCCACTATGCTATGAAATAGTGATAGGAAATACCAATGGAAAACCTATCTAAATAAAAGGATCTCAACAGAACATCTTGAGAGTAATTTCTTCTTTCAGTTTAGAATAAAGTGAACTTGTGGGAGAGAGGTACCCAAATATTTAGTTCTTATAATAAGGGAGCAAAATACAAAACAAAGTAGAGAAAATACATTAGTCAAAAATATTTTAAAATAAACAGATATCAATAACTCGCACTCCTGACAACAGAGAAAGCTGACTCTTACTTTGCCTCTAAAATGATATTTTAGTAAATCTTGTCATACTCATTCAGTGTAATTTACAATAGAATATATCGGCTCCTTCCAGAGCCTGTGAGCCAGCTCTGTGAGAACATGGCAGCCTGACTAGCTGAAAGCTCATGACCAGAGGTAGAAGTTACATAAAATTCATCTACCCCAATAAAGTGATGCTTTTTTTGCACTGAAATATCCCAAATGACTAAGTTTGAAGCAGAACCTCTGGTGCTCTAGGCAGAGCCTCTCTGGCTCATGAGTTTCTTCCTGCCATGGAAAACAGTAGCCTGAACAGGGAAGAAGATTAACATCTTATTATGGCATGGTTTGTGAAATTGTTTCTCAAGCCCTTCCAATATGAATATAGGTAGCAAGCTAACTCCCTAAACTTTAGGGAAGTTTGAGATAACACAGGGACAACACAGGAAGGCTTGCGAGCTCCAAATGCATCTAGGACCTACTGATAACAGCATCCATCTGCCAAGAAAGCTGACAGGTATGACACATAAAATACTTATTCCCATGTTGGTCAAATGATCAGTTAGGCTGGGATTTATGAGCAGCAGCTGCTGAAATGTGCTGGGCTGGAAATGGAAGGACTGCTCTCTTTTGTATGCTGCAGCAATGATACCAGGGGACTTCGGGATAGCCTGGGAATGCTTTTAAGAGTAGAGAATCTCCTTGGACTGGGACCTAAGAGGGTTTCCAGTAAAGGGAAGATCTTCCACTAATGGTTTCCTCACAAGAGAGGAACCACACAGGACAGCCGGTGTTAGGACACACACTGAAAGCCAAAGCAGCACGTCAGCTGTTCAAGGGTAATTACCTGTGCTTGTGTATTTAATCCCATTGTAAACACGAGGTACCCTGCTGTAAAGACGCAGTGAGCTACCAAAGTTATGTAACCTGCAGGCATAAACTGTCTCCTGTTTACTACGGGATTGAAGTATACACATAAACATACTTTGTGGTTAGTCGTTCATGTAGCCAAAACATAAAACTGGATGCTTTTCACAAGTCATGAGCTAGTAAGGCCCAAGCTACTCTGTTCACATTAAGAAGCCTATAAAATGTAGGACACTGTGACAGGAGGGGTCAGACTGGCTGATTTAATTGTCTGTATGGCCCTATACTCCATAAATGTGTGATCAGGCAGAACAAACACTTACTTTCTCCATCTCAGCCAGGTAAAAGTCAATGAAATCCTGTGGTTCATCCGGTATCCCACTCTCCACATGTCTTCTGATCTCTCTCCTTGCATAAGAGCTCAGGACACCATAGCAAAACAACGCTTTCTTATGAGGACCAGGGAGACGGCACATCAGCCAGGGGAAGATTTCGTACAGTTGCAGGAGTGACACAGAAGAGGTGCTTGTCAGTAACAAAGCTGCTTTCAGAAATGCCAAATGGCTGAGTTGTCCTGTCTGGAAATATCGATAGTGGAACAGAAAAGAGCTAATTTAATTTTAATTTAAATCTGAATAAATTCTCTGTGGCACTGATCAGCTGATCGTGTTTTGTCCTCATCAGAGAAGTGATATCCGAAAACCAGAACACAAATTACATTTGAAATAGAATGGAAAAGAGGGAAAGTAGGATCCACGGGTCTTCCTGCAGACACATTAACTGGTATTCACGCTCAGTATTTTCTTCAGGTGTTCCTTATACAGATAGGACAAGATGTTATTAGAGATTACGTAAAATGTTCTCCTTATCCAACTGGGTCCTGAATGGAGACAGAGATGTGGCACTGATGTGTGTATGAAAATAAAAACATAGTCTTAGAGCAATGGGAACTGTAAAACAGTCTCCTCAGAGCTCTAAAACAATCTCAGAAAAGTCAGAATGTGAGAAGAAAGAAATGTCAGTGGAGATGAACTAAGAGAAGACAGTGACAGACATGTTCAAAAATGTAAAAAAACTACTCAGGAGGAAAGGCTGAAGGAACTTGGGAAGGTTTGATAAGCACAATAGGTGGATAGGAGCTGCAAAGTATACTTAATAAAATTATTACAGTCTGTAGCAACTACTGTGAACAGTGGATGAATAATACTGTTCCATCTAGAAACAGTAGAATTTCTACTCTACAGAGCAGAACAGAGAATATCTCTGATTTTTTTAAAGTTATGAGATATTCATCAAAAATTATTCGGATAGACTTATCCTGGCCTGGACTCTAGGATGAGCATGATAAGTCACTGAATTTCCCCTCCCTCCTACTACTTTCTTTGATTGTCTTGCCAATAGTTGCTTAGCCAGACAGCACTACAATATCCAGTTTAGATCCTGGCACCTAACATCATTGAAATTTAGAGAATTAGAGAAAGGACTAAGCTTTGCAATACTCCTCAGTTACCTAACGTAGGGAGTCTGAGAATGGCTTGGCTGTGCACTTCAGTGATATCATATCACGATACAATCATATCACAAAGATAAGCCCATGGAGGTGGAATTTCAGAAGTTCTCAATTCCATTAGGTTTATAAACAACTTTTTAAGAAAGAAATTCCCACATGTGATACTACGCTCTATATGCTCTCAGTCTCTGGTAAGTTTGGATACACCATTCTGGACCCACTCCGACCCTAGAAAGGGGTCGGTAAGTTTTCATACTAAAGATATGGATCCAGGATGGAAAAGTGTCCGATTTCTTAGCAGATAAATACCTTTCAGGTTCAGAAAGAACTCTATGAGGTGAGAGGCCTCCTCTTGCAGTCGATACTCCAGGCCTTTTTCCCCATTACTAGGTCATTATACTAAAGCGTCTCTGCTGCTTCCAGGAGCGACCGCTTGCTAGTATAATACCTGAAGGTATTCCCTGGCATGTTAATATTCGCCATAGACAGGAACGATTAATTTTAAAATACATTATAAAATACATGGAGTAAATCAGGGGATACACCGTGATATAAGTATCTTTAGGTGACCAGTATATCATACCCAAATATACCCAAACCATAACTAGGCCATATAGTCTTAATTTTGATCCTAGTTAATCTTAGAAAATAGTAATCTAAGGATTTTCTGTCTGCTCCATTTCTTGACATCTTAAAAACCCAAACCAAATCACAAAACCTTAGATGCCTTTTTAGAAGATCTTCTTTAGCCACACTCAGGTGTTCATGCTCGAGAAAAGAATAACTGGATGCATTTCTGCAGAGTACTGTACAGGCCCAGGTATGTTTATGGAGATATAAGTCAATTAATGCGATGCTTGTAGTTTGATGTGGTGGTGAAGGATAAGTGACATTTGGGCACCATTTCTCTCTGGAAGGGAGATCTCTACACTGATGGTTAAACTGTGCTAGTGCTCACCTGAAGAGCCCTGAACTGCTGCTGTGATGATTATGCTTTTACCTAACTTTGAAAAATCTGTGTTTGCTTTGGTATAGCAAAGGCAGGGGAGGGAAAAGAAAAGGCTGCAAACCGCTAAAATACACTAAGGAGAAGTGGTTCTTTTGTGTGTCCGAGGCACTCTCACAATCAAGGGGTAAATCACCAAACATTTTCAGAGTGGCTGAAAACACAGCAAAGAGACTCCTGAAGGAGGGCGTTATAGGTCTCTTGCTCATGAGGGAAGGTGTTTAGCAAATATAACATACATGGTTACCAAACACAGAAACAGGCTTTGCATTCATGTGATATACAGCAAAATCATGTGCAGCGAATTGGACTATTCTGTGGAGGAGGGCAGAATTGCTTAGTTCTGAGCTGGGATCACATACACCTTGAACACAGCAAAAAGGTCACCTAGAAACAAAGTGATCTGGAGTGTTTTCCAAGCTTGGGAAAGATCAGGACAAAAGGCATCACGGCAAATAGTACGTTATTGTCAAGAGCTTAGTATCTAATGGCAGAGCCTTTTGAATCGGAGTGTGGAGGATCTAACAAGGCAGAGTAGTTTGCCAGGTCAACATTCCTGTGCAATGTTTATGGCAGGAAAATCTTACCTTTTCCTTTGGCCATTGCTCTGAAGAAAGGAGATGCCGTCCTCCCAGAAACATCTTCAGGGTGTGTAGTCATGCCGTCCTTCACTGCTTGATATCCATTCAGTATGAACACGGGGGTCCACCTGAACCACAGAGTGTATATGTTACCATGAGATTTTCCCAGTGGTAAATTTGGAAGGTGCCAGAAAAGGACAGATGAAACCCTGTACAACTCAGACAGACACTGCACCTGCTATTCAACAGCCCAATGGCCAGCTTTGTACTGAGAGCATCATCCCTATGAATATAATTACAGCTAGAAGCAGAAAGACACCATTGTTTCTCTGAGTATGAGGCTTTCAGCAGCCAATTTTATTTACCCTGGGGGAAGTGTTTTTCTTTTCAAAGGACAGGCTGCAACAATGCTACAGCAAAAGAAAGAAAACTTCATGTTTTATGTTGCATCACATCCAAGCCTAACACGTGTAACTCAATAATTGAACAACCACGCTCTGTGCCTCTCTGGGGCGCTACGCCTCCAGCTGGCCTTTCCTTTGCAAAAGGAAACCAACTGATTAAACCTGCTCCGTCTGGGTGCTCCGGGTGAGGAGGTGGAGCCAGAAAGCAGCCAACAGCCACGCAGTGCCAGTGGGCTGCAGCTGAGTCCAGGGTTTCCTCACAGTACTGAGGAGTGAGCTGACAATTGGAGATGGCAGAGGTATCCAAGCAGGGACAGCCCTATGACAGAGGAAATTCAATCATCTGTGGAAAAAGCTTTGTCCAAGAATTGGACTCTGCTCAAACACAACCAAGATGATACAAAAGTGGTAGACAGTTGCTAAGGTGGCACCAGAATTACACCCAATTTTCACGCTAGTGCCTCTCCTTATAATTCCTGAGGTACTGGGTTCCCTCTCCCTGTTAGAGCATCACTGCCTGTCTGTGCCTGCGCTCATTGGCCTCTGCCTACTGCCCCAAGCACAGGCCTGAATTATAGGTCACCTGCAAAACAGTAGAAGAATTTCTGCCAGGGTACAGGGAGGGATGGCGGTGGGAAGGAGCAGCTGGCTCTAAAAACAAATGGATAACAGATTTAAGGAAGGTTTAGAAGACAGGGGTTTGTATTCCCCTTCAGTATTACAAGCATACATACACATGCACGATATAACCCACTTCCTCATCAAATTAGACAATACCTGTGCGTCACAATTTTAAAAAGTAACAAACACATACGGACTTATCAGCAAGGCAGAAGCATCTTCTTGATTCCTGGTTTTCCCTGCCAAGTCAGAAACCCTGTCCCCAAGTTTATTTGATACTTAAGGACATTGTTACTCATGAAGATGACATATTCCACATATGAAGGAGATGTAAGTGTAGGAATCAAGTTGATCTTTATATGTCTGTACCTTGTCTGCAACTAAGACTTGAAAACTTCAATTTGCTATTAACAAATTAGTTTTGTTTAAGCTGCGACTTGTTCCACCAGTTCTCTCTGCATACAGAGTTCTGTAAAGTTTGGTTCCTTCCCCTCCGTCTGTCCCTCCCCCTCATCACTGCCTGTCCCCATACTGAGGTACTCCCGTACTGAGGTATATCAAACTGATCCCTGACAAGAGGCGTACGTAGCTGCTTACAAGAAGCTACAGTAGTAAAAGGTGGAATCCCTTGTACTCAAGGTATTTGTGCTGAAGCTTGCGTTGGGGAACTGCGGGCGTGTGCTGGGAGATATGGATTGGAATGAGACTGGGTGAGAGCCCTTCTTGACCACTGGATGCGAGATGACTGGCACTCTTAGCTTCACCTGCCTTGGAAACATTAAAAACACACAAAGTTGTTCATGTCAGAATCACTGAATTCAGATTATGTGTTGCACATTAGCTACGATAAGTTCCTAACACTTAAGACCTACGATAAGGTCCTAAGTGTTATTTGACTTTTCTTTGTGGTTGTAATTTCAGATTTGACTGTCAGTACACACAGTTAACACAGGCAAAACCAGCAGTAGGTGCAGACTAAGCATGCAATTAGAAGACAAAGCTGTTACAAGCAATTTCTGAAAAATTGGCCTTGAGTGTTCAGTCAAATTTTTTTCATTAGTAAATGGAAAAAATAACAGTTTCATCAAGTAAGGATTAATGACATGGAGATAATGCTTAAAAACTCCCATTACAATTAAATAATAATAAAATAATAATCTTAAAATATGTTATATTTAAAAATTAATTAAATATAAAATTGTCACTAATTTAGATTTTTTTAGTATGTCACCTAATTTAAGCTGCACATGACTTGGTTTACTTTGTACATTTTTTATAAATTTAAGGTTTACAGGACAAATTGAAAATTCTTTCATTTGATAACGAAGGAAGGGATTCACACCTAGTTTGAAACAGAGAAGGGGAAAGCACCGTGTGTCAATCACCAGAGGATCCCCTCTTGCACTGCAAAGAGCAGGTGTCTCCACTAAAATTAAGCACAAGTCTGAAAAAGAAACTGCCCTGCCTTTGAACGCAGACATAAATGCAGTATTTCGCAAACCTGGCAACGTTAAGAAAGTAACGTGACTCACTGACACTAATCCATCCGCTTCGTTTGGCCAAGCTGTGCAGTTACTCTAGGTACCTACATGTCTGTGCTATACGGTAAAAACAGCACGGAAAAGTAGTTTCTTATGACTTTATCTGTGCAAAACTAACAAGACGTCAGGGGCAGTGTGTGTGGGAAGCGGGCTGAAGCGGGCTCCATGGCTTTGCTAAGACCAGTGCGGTGCCCACTGCGAGGCTGGAATCAGCAAAATATAAAATCAGGAAAAAAAAATAATTTATTCAAATCAAAATATCCAGTTTAAAATTTTGAAAAAGTGTTTTGTGCAGACAGATGAAGTCAGAAGAAATGCTGACTTACATAAGTTTCATGAACAGACTAAATACAATCGTATTCACCTCTTACCCGTTTGGTCAAAATTCCATTGCTTCATTTTAGATATTTCATACTTGGCATAGCATAGAGTAAACGCATTCAATTCTTTCAGAACATGGCTCAGGTTGAACTGGAACCAAATCAGCAGTGCCAGAAGCAGGATGAAGCCAAACCAGACAGGCAGTAGTTTAACAGACCAGATGTTACTATTAACTTTCCTTTTTGTTGCTTCAGAATTTTCCAATTGTCTGAAACCCGGATGCATGAACAGTTACTTACACCAGTGCCTGATATCACTGCAGGAACTGTGCTGGAAAAAAACCAGGCTGAGGGATCTTGTGTTGGCATCGATCTGTTCCTGTCTTATGCCTTCTATTACAGACACGATATCAGCAATATTTGCTGGGTTTATGTTTTTGGCTGAAAACTTGGCTTTCCTAAGGAGAGAGAGAAACCCAAGTAAAGATCAGTCCGAAAAAGTGGACTCACAGGGGAAGAGCAGCAAAGTTTACTGAAAGCTATAGGAAGCCCGAGTTTCCATAAGATTTTTTAGTGAACATAAATGCACACTGTGAAGTAAGTTTTGGAAAGATTAGTACAACGCTTACAAAAGTAAAGTTGTGCAGGTAACAGGACAATAAAGCACGCACGGTCCTGATATCCTTGAGCAGGCAAATGTTGCATTTTAGCTCTTGAATATCAATACTTAAATACTAAGAATCAATTGTGACACATTTGGTAAGCGAGAATGTCAGGAATTAGGATCTCCAAAGCACAAGAACTCTTCATATACCGGGATCAGCCAATTGCTTTGAGTGAGGCTTCAAATATATAATATTTAGAAATGGACACATTTCTTTGCTGTGCGTTCTAATTCCTCACCCCACAGTTACCTTCAGAAAACTGAAAAATTCACAAGCTGGAAAGTGCCAAGTAACTAGGAGCATTAAGGCTGGAATTAAGGTGGCAGTGAGAGTGAGAAGAAAACAAAGGATGTGACGTTAATATCCAAAATAAAAATGGGGAAGACATCAGAAATGGGCCTGGCATCCCTGATCCCAATTCCTGCCAGAACTTTTCGTGCAGGGAGTTTGCCAAAAAGAAGAGTAACTTGTTCTCGGAATGCAGTTACCAGGGAACTGGATGAATAGTTTATTTAAGGAATAGATGGATGAATTTTTCAGGATGCATGAACATGCAAAATACCTGACATTATATCCACAATTTCTGCATAACAAGCCCGAAGATGAAAAAAATCCCCCAAAGGGTTAAGAAAATAAACATGGAAGGACAAGTAAAAGATGCTAGAGGATAAATTCTAAATCCTGACACAAAACCAGCTTTCTGTTTTTATAAAAGGAGTCAAAGTTAATATTTTAGGATCCTTTTTGTAGGACAACAGGCCGCGTGCTATTGCTGCTATTGACTAAGAGAGGCTGTACAGACCTCTGGGAAAAAGTATGTTCAAAGTCCAGTATTATCATCTTTTCAGATATGTCTAAGAGAAACACCAGGAAAAATATGGCAAAAACTGTAAAATACAATGCTGATATCATCAGCTGGAGCAGTTTATCATCTCAATTACTATCTGTGGTTTCTTCACAGCACTGTTAACAACTGCCAAGCATTAGGAAAAGCACGGTGATTGGACACCAGTGGCAGAGTGCTTTTAAGTCAAGTTAAACAAATGAGCTGCATAAGAGATTCCCACAGAACCTGACAAGAATGAAGCACCCAAAAGCATGTGTCACAATACGTTGTCACAAAAAATACATCGAGGTTAAAATCCAGGAGACTTGCAGTTAAGGAGGGAAGGATTGGGGAAATGCTGAAAGCTTTCACTGACCAGAGGTAAAAATATTTTTTATTGAGGTGAGAGTAGGGAAAAAACCCAGGGCAAGGAAAAAGTCATATATAGATACCAAAATAAAGACACTTAAGATTTACAACAGTTAGCAAAACCGAAAAGTTAAAAACCTGGAGGGTACCACTGTACATGGGATAAAGGAACTGGGCAAGGCAGAGTTAAAGCAAGAAGAGCTGCCCGTGTTTTTCACCCTAAGAATAACCAAAGCAAGAATTATAAACTGAAAGGCATTCATTCTACAGTCTTAACATTTCACAGATTAAAGAAAACACTCTCATAAAATAGATTAAAGTTACTTGTTTTCTTTATTTGAAAATGTTACGAATCTGGTGGATAATCAATAGTACTGAAGTTATGTTACTTTGTGTGTTTTTCAATTAGCTTAAACCATTAAGTTAAGAACATCTACAAGTGTTGTTTATAAAGCTTGCAAATCTCAAGACTGAGAGAAGAGCAAAGCTGAGGAAGCCACAGCATTGGCAAGAGATGGCAACCACTGGATCAGCTGCAGTGCAGTCAGGTGTAGAGCCACACAGCACAAAGTAGTTTTTCCCGAGGGAGCTGGGAAGACAGAGTTAGATGCAATCTCCTGGAGTTCTGCACTGAGAAGTGCAGAAGTCTTGGCATCAAAACTGCCTCAGCCACATACAGAACGAGGAGCAGTGAGTGCCGCAGCCAGTCTCATTGAGTGAAGGAAGAAAAGAGGATTTGGAGGACGCATACGTCGGCATGCCTGACCAACGGATCGCAAAGACGTCCAGACATACCTGGCACAGACAAACTCTGAAGCAGAACAATGGGCACCCTCCAGGACATAGATACTGACATCAAAATAGCCCCAAATATGAGAGGATGACTCTGAGGATCATATTCCCCTCCCACTCAGGTCCAAGCAGTCTGAAATGACCTGGTCAATCTGTCTTTCTGTTCAGAATAATCATAGTGCAGAGACAGTCATTCTCAACTGAGAGCACCACCTCCAGGGACTGACTTGACATAGCACAAAACCCAACTATAACATTTGAGATGGGTCTTTGCTGACATAGGATAGTTAGATCCAACTCACCCAGCAGGGAATACTGCAGACAAGCATTTTGCTCTTGGCATGCTCTTCACCAGGCTGACTGCAGGTATTAAGCTTTGCAGATACGTGCCTGGAACAACATAGGCAGGAGCGTGGCCGTCTGACCCAAAGAACAAAGCAAAGCAAAAGCCACAGCTTCCAGAAAAGTCATACAGAGGAGAAAGCTCAAAGGGAAAAGAAACACAGTTTTAAAGGGATGCAGGTATACATACCAGTCGTTGCAAAATGAGAAGCTGCTTTTAAAATAGAAGACTTGGAGACAAAGAAAGGCTGGGAAGGTTGCAACAATGTACAACAGCAAACGAACAACCTAATGAATAAAGATTGTGGGACTGAAAGACTGCAAGACCAGTACAACCCCCACCCTGTCTTGGTCTTTAAACGGTTCATATGTTCCAAATGAGGGCATCCAGTTTACAATGCGTATTCTTCTAAACCAGCATTTAAAAAAACACCTCAAGATATAAGCAGTGACCTGTAACACCAATTTGCTTTATGCAACACTAAAAACAATCAATAATTCCCATCTTTGGTTCACACTCCATCAAGTATCTCAGGGTGCTTTATCTGTATTAACTACGTTTTAGTTCTGTCAAGGCAAAGATATATATTACCATGCGTGAAGGCAACAAATTACACAGCACTACAGGATTATTTATATTTAAAATGTTTAACGGAGCAGACTTGCTAATCAACCAAGTATTAATACCCCTAAATCTACATGCTAGGAATTTAAATGCAAAATACGAAAGGCAGAATCGGCATATCTCAATAACGTATTACAATTACTACTTGTAGCAATGCAGTATCCCAGATAAGTATAAGTGGAGCTACACCAACCCCTTGTAAATCCTTTACAGTCAGGTATTACAGGTCCCTAAAGTCTTCAAATAGGGTGTGGCAAACAGAAGTCAAGCAACAGGAGGTAGAAGCCAAAGGAAGACTGAGATAGCAGCAGCCACATGGGCGTTACAGAGGTCCATGGTGGGTCGTAACCACGAGAAGATAACACAGCCTCCGACCAAATCTGAATTTGTGGCTGGCAGTTCAGAGCATGTAATTACACAGTCATTCCTCAAAGGCTTTTTTAAAGCAGGGCTGTTTTCTATAATATTTCAGGCTTGAGAGGTTGACTTAGCAACCTAAATAAGCCTCCAAAAACACTTTGGAGAAAGATTTAGGTGACATTTCTGTATTTGATTTTATAGATCTTAAGAGAAAGAAAATCAAGCAGGAGCACAGAAGCTTAATAACCCTCCATCACACACTCCTAAATCTCCAGGCTGGTGGCAGGGACAGCGACCTTTTGAAGTATGGCACTAAGTGCATTAAGCTGCTAACAGAGGACATCTGTTTCGCTGAAGTAGCAATGTGACAATTAGCCACGAACAAAGTGCAGCCGCCAGAAGTCTGACTCATGCCTTTCTTCCCTGTTCAGGGAAGCATTCTTCTTCTTGCTCCAAGGAGAGCTGAATGATAGGGACTCGCACTGCGAGGTGCTAATACGAAGGGAATGGGGGATCAAGGGTTGCACACTGTGTGTGGCAAGAAATTCTCTTCACAGATGAACTCACAGCAGGACTGTGCCCCAGTGAGCCCTGTTCATCGGCCCCCTCTCTCAGCATCTGCCTCTGTGCAAGTTCTTTATTTCTTTTCTGCCAAGAGCCCCAAGAAAGGGACTTGGCTAATTAATACCCCTCGGCGTTTATCCGAATCTCCTATGGAAGAAAGCCCTCGGACAATGCTGCTTATGGTTTTGCCATTCAGCGCTTGCCTTCAGGAAATAACTTCCAGCATCAATAGCAACTCTTCTAGAATGACTTTCAAGAAAGATGGCAGGCACACTCAACAGCTCTCAGCATTTGACAATAGCATATGGATCAAAGGGCAACTTGGGTGGCAGCCATTGATGAAAAATTGATGTGCAAGAGATTAGCAGCTGATGCAGGCAAAGAAAACACAGCCCTTTAGACACAAGCATCTCAGTTGATTGCACATGAAATACCTGCAGTACATGGACACATCCCCAAACTTAAACAAGCAAAATAAAAAAATATTGACCAAATTTTTATTTATTGTTGCAATTATTACGTTACTTGCTTTTGAATTACAGTAGCAATGTCCAGGGGTCTTTTTTCCCAAAAAATGTTCCATGGCCATTGATTTCAAACGTATTGAGAAATACCATGAGGTCAAAACTGTTGCTCCTCCTATAGATATTACGCTGAGAGAGGACTCAGAGATTGTCATATAAACAAGGAAAGCCATCTTCTACAACAGGGAACAACACGTATCATACTAAATGTCCATCACTTTTACAAATCATCCCCAGCTCCTCTGCAGCTTCCGGTTTCGTGTGACAGCTGGAGTGAGGATTGATGGCAGAGTGGGACGGCAAACACGCACGGGACAGCACAAGGTTGCAGTTCTGGACCTAGGGACAGAGAGGAAAAGAGTATTTCCAAGCAGTTTCTACGGCAAGGTGATCTCAGCCTTTCTATTTGCTGTGACTTTCCAGAAAGAGGCACAGCTCATACTGTAGCTTATTTGGGGTTTTTAGCTAGGGGTCTCCACTCAGCTCCAACTTCAGTCACTGGGACCTCTCCAAAGGGAAGATATCCTGCAGAATTACAATCTGTTGGAGCTGGATCAGCTGCCAGAGATCACAAGTTAGAAAAAAAAAGCCATGACTAAATAGGAGGAATGAAAGCTCTTCACTGACCTATGAGCCTCACAGGCTTTGTTCCGGAGGAATATCTCCTTCTCTCTCCTGTTAAATATATATAAAAACAGTAGGATAATTTCTTTGTGCTATTGCACTTGGTATTTCCTGTCCACCTTCATGAGGAGATCACATGGGCTGCTTTTTTCCTTCAGAAACCAGGAGACAAAACAGCATGAGACTTTGTATTTGCATGTTTGCATATTATAACTCCAGAAACTGTACAACTACCAGCCGCAAAGCAAGGCCAGAGAATGGTGTTTGTCCACCTTTCACAAGCTCATTTTCTCCACTTGTCTGTATAAAAAATGAAATCTTGCAGCAATGCGAAGGCCAAGCATTTTTCTATTAGTCCTTCCTACAGAGATTTAAACTCTGCTAATGGGTACATCAGACACACCTTCTTTTACCACCCATCCTGTCCTCACCCATTTTAACAACATGTTCCACGCTGAAGAGAATGTCGTGAATTGTCACAAGCAAATTTCTGCAGCACAGCAGACATTATTGCTCAAATATGCCCTGACCGATGTGTTTTAAGACAGAATCTTCTAAGCAATGTGGTCATAATTGTATGCTGCATAACTGCATAACTGCAGCTAGATGACGTTTTATGTACTATTTGGTATGGTAGAGTATAAACACACTGGCTTCCTGGCTTTTTTTCTTGGAGAGTAGAGAGGCACAGAAGGAATATATTACTAATATTGCCGACAATCCTTAATGTGGTTTACATGCTGCATCTGCCAAACAAGACCCACAGGACCCTTTTCCTTTCTCCATGGCTCATTCATGGAGGATGATCCAGGAAGGAATGTTGATCAGGATTCGTAGCATGACCCCACCTCTGGCTCCCCTAGGAAATGCAAAAATATTGGTAAAATGGAGAATCACTAAGCCTGGGAGGCGCGTGAGACAAGATGTGTCATGAAGGCTCCCTATTTTCCTGTTTGTACGGAAGGAAACACAGGCTCTGCAGTTCCTTTGGGTACCAGATAGAACCCAATTCAGGGATTCAAGCCCTCGTTTTTTCTTCCCTCTTCACCTTACTTGGGCTATTGAGGCAAGAAACTGGACGTCAAACTGCTGTGAGAACCATTTTTCACATTACTGTCCCCTACAGAAAACAGCCTTTGCTCACAGGTGCCTGGTTGTATTTGCATGCGCTTTCAGTATGGTCAGCATATTTCAGAATCCCTGGCTACCTCTTTGTTTCCAACAATTGCAGGGGAGGAGGCCTGCCCCCACCTCCAGAGAGAAGGAGTCCTGTTTACAGATGTTGCTGAGCAACATGCACGAGTTCAGCAACGCTACGTGACCAGGAGATTCCTGAGAGCAAACTGCAGAAGCCAGGACAGGTGGAAACTGTGCTTAGTCAAACTCCTAAGAGCTTTACAAATGGCGTGTTTTCACCACTTCCCGGAAAATCCCTAGAGCAGAGATATGCCTTTTCGTCTTTCAAGTGCCTATCACCTATTACCAAAGTGATGCAATTGCTCAGAAATAGGTCACACATTATATATAGTTACATAAATATATATTTATAGTTACATACGGTTTGGTTTTTACATACACAAATATATGTAACACCATATAGTTTGGTGTTACACAAAAATGTGTGCTGGCATGATCTTTATTCGTCCCTCTGCTTCATACTTCAAAATCCCTGAGACAAATGTTCAGAAATCCTTGCCTCCTACCCCATACAGTCACAGACTAGCTGATGTTGCTCCTATCTGAAATCCTGAATCTTTGAGCAAGGTAAGACTATCTCGTCTTCCCTCCCTCTGCGCAATTAGGTCTTCTCAATTGCCCAGGGTCAAAGAGTTCAAAACTGGTCTCTATTTATGGGTACGAGAGACTTGGTTTGCAGAACTATGAGAACCCAAAATCTGGTGGCAATCAGTAGGATCTGTAGGAGCCAG